TGAACAAAGCACTGAAAATGAGGATACAGTCTTTGCACTACAAGACTCCTCTTCTGATTCAGAAATTTGTGATAGCGATGTTCCAGTTTTTGCAATAAATGAAATTTTTTATCTCAGTCCAGCTATACCAAAGCCTAGTGTAGAAGTTCACATTTTGTCATCCAAATTAAGCCATCCCAAAAAGGTGATTGCCTATATGGATATTGGTGCCCAAAGATCAATGATGGATCCTAAGATCTTACCTCCTAAAGCATGGAAGAAAGAGACAGCCTGCTTTGTAGCAGCTGATGGAAAGGTTTTCAGAACCTACTTGGTCACTAAGCAACCCATAGGGATAAGATTTTTCCCTGAATGTATTGTCTGGACCAGTGTTATTGGGACTCCTCTTCCCAATAATGATATTCTAATCGAAATGGATGTCTATACCAAAGCTCACAGACTTCAGATCCTTCCTTAAGGAATAAGGTTCAAAAGAGACTTCAAGTCTTATTCAGAAACCCTGAGATTGTATGCTCTCTCTGAAGCTCCTCCTAAACTAGAAGACATTAAAGAAAAACTGCAGCCTTTGTGTCCAGACAATCATGGAGGCTTCTCTCATCCTAAACCACTGTGAAAGAATGAAGATTTTTTCGTTCAACTTCCTTTCAAGCTCAATGAAGATATCAATCCAACCAAAGCAATTCATCCAGGAATGTCTCCCTCAGACCTTCAATTAGCAAGACAGGAATGCCAGGATCTCCTGAAGCAAAGGTTGATAGAACCTACTAGATCCCCTTGGGCATGTCAAGATTTTTATGTTGAGAAAAGATCAGAAAAAATTCGAGGCAAGAAAAGATTGGTGACTGATTATAAGCCTTTGAATCATTTCCTGCAATATGATAAATTTCCTATTCCAAAGGTTGATACTCTTCCTATCCTTTTTAAAGATGCTCACATCTTTTCCAAGTTTGATTTAAAATCAGGTTTCTGGAATCTTGTATTAGATCCTGCTAACAGATACAATACTGCTTTTTGTATTCCAAATGCACAGTACCAGTGGAGAGTTCTTCCATTTGGTCTCAAAGTCGTTCCTTCACTTTTCCAGCAAGCAATGACAAGAATTTTTTATCCAATCTTGGATACAATTCTTATTTATATTGATGATGTTCTTCCTTTTTCCAAAAATATGGAGGAACATAGGAAACTACTCAACAAGTTTGCAGAATTAAATAACAGATATGGAATCATGCTTGCTGAGAAAAAGATCCATATTGCTCAAACTGAAGTTGATTTTATGGGAATGCATTTTTCCAAAGGAATGTATCAGCCGCAACCACACCTTGCAGAAGAACTTACAAGCTTTCCTGATGAAAATCTCACTGTTAAACAGATTCAACAATTTTTAGGAATTGTTAATTATGTTAGAGATTTGATTCCTCATGCAGCCAAGTATACCAATCTCTTGTCAAAGATTTTAAGGAAAGATCATCCTCCTTAGAGTTCAGAACAGACCAAAGCAATCAAAGAAATAAAAAAGATTGCTCAAAATCTACCAGCCTTGAAGATTCCTAATACTGGTAAAAAAATTCTTCAAACAGATGCTAGTGATTATTTCTGGGGAGCTGTTTTAATAGAAGAGATTGATGACAAGAGATATTATTACGGACATGCAAGTGGTCAATTCACATATGCAGAACAATATTACCATACCACTTATAAAGAAGCATTGGCAATCAAAAATGGAATCAAGAAATTTGATTTCCATCTCCGTAGTCATAATTTTGAAGTCCAGATGGATAACTCATCTTTTCCAAAGATTTTGGAATTCAAAAACAAGATGCCACTAGACCCTCAAATCCTTAGGCTGAAAGATTGGTTTTCATGATATAATTTCACTGTAAAACATATCAAAGGAAGCCATAACACCATCCTTTATTTCCTATCCAGACCTAGAGTTCCTATTTAGGTCATCTCTAGTATATCTAGTGTTCCTTTTCCTTTAATACTCATGCACGAACCATTACCTAAGACAACCAAACACAAAAGAGACTATCCTCCAGAATTAAGACAACCTACCTCAGTTCACCAAATCCAACTGTTTGCAAAAGATTATTATTTTTATTACCTCTATGAAACCATGAGAACAAAAAATGTTACACCCTCAGCTTTTCATCCATAAATTCCTTACTTACAGGTGTTAGAAGTTTTTTGTGATGTAGATTTTGAAATTACAGAAAAACACTTTGGTGCATATGTGACACGAGCTGTCGAACTCGCACAAATTAATTAAATCAGGTTTATTAAAATTTTGTAGTAAAGCGTCAACCTGAGTCGTCTCTCAATGAACTTAATCGCTCAGTTATAAAAATAAAAATAAAAATAAAAATAAAAATAAAATGGAAACGAGATGAAAATGGAAACTAAATGAAACAAGAACTAAATGAAAACGGGAATAAAATAAAAACGGAAACCAAATAAAAATGGGAACTAAAAAAATAGAGAAAATAAGGAGAAACGAAAATTAAAGAAAAACGGAAACTAAAATGGGGGATTTTTAATATTATTGTAAATTTAAACGGAAATGAAAAGTAAATTAAAATTAAAATTAAAAAACAATCAAATTTAAAGAAACAATCCAAGAATAAGGATTTCAAGGATATCCATCATTGGACAAATAATTACCAAATCGTGGTTGACCCTAATCGAATTGGAATCCCTACATTCGCTGAGGAACCCCTCTCTAGACTATCGTCTAGCGTTTGGTCGAATAGGCGCGTCTACTCGCGCAATCACGGAGTATCAACTCGTTCGACTTAAGTTCATTGGGTTAATCAACCTAACCATTAAATCTAATGGTTAATGTCTTTCCTAAGAACGCAATCGCGCATCTCAGATTGAACACCCACAATCGCGCGATGTCAAACCGAGTTGGAAAGAGAAATGAATTTGGTTCAAAATGAGGCGCAGGTCCTTAGGATTCAACCATTGAATCCTCAACCCTTGGGTTGATTAAAGAAAAGATGAAAGAGAAAAGATGAAAATTCTATTGATTACAAAACTGTAAAATACAAATTCAAACGAAAGATTCTCACAAGGTCCCTACTCTCGCCCTACCCCTAATCAAGCTGGGGTTCGCGCTCTCCAAATCCAACCCAAAATAAAAGGAAATAAAACAGAATTAATGGCTCTGGGCCTCATGCACATTGGGTTCAAAATTATAACTTAAGTCCAAACGTCAAAATAAATTTCCAGCAAAACACGTCCATCTTGGGCTCAGGTTTCGACCATATATCCCTCCGAATTGGGCTTCGGTGGCTGAAATAGATATTGTAGCCCTTTCTGTTAGCTGCAAAACGAAACAAGAACGGAGTCAATTGGACATCTGTAGAGTGAGATATGGCCAAAATAAGAAAGTAGTGTAAATCTAGAAAATTATGACGAAAATCAATTAAACCCAATTAAAATCTATAATTCTGATTTGACCCAAAAGACCTTTATTTAATTCAAATAAATTGTAAAAATACCAACCAAGAGTAATAAATAAGTGTAACAAAATATGTGTTATCAATATGGTGTCTCACGGTAAATTACTCAGTCCCTTTTGCTCTTAAGGTACAAAGAACGTATGCGATTCTTATGACTCCTGACAATTCAGATTACTTTTTATGGACCTTGTTAGAATGGTTTTCTTCTTTGTCATGATGTAGAAAAGAATTTCACAAGATCATTCTATCCAAGGAACAAGAAGGTAAAACAAGAAGAGAGATTTCAAAGATCACTGCCATTTTTATCATCCACAGGCCATATTGGCAAAGGCCCGATGGACTCATATGGTCTCAAAATATTGCATATATATGGGGATATTTCAATGACTATCCATTAGATCCCTATTCCAAGACCGCTCTGTTAAAACATGTCAAAGAAGTTAATGGGTTTGAAGATCCAAAGTCCCAACCATTTCAGCCAAGCTCATCACATGGCCCAAGCTCCTCGCAAGGCCCAGATCCAATGCAGATTAAGTTGGTTTTTGACCCAGAGACCACTCAAGATCCGGATACTGATGTCATAGATCCGAATGCTGATGTCATGGCAGAAATAATTGAAGAAAAGGCCAAACCCGAAGAGCCTTGGTGGAAAGAGATGTACGGTGATGTCCACTCAAAAGAACGAAGGGCTCTAAATTTTTCCATTAGTATCGACACCACTGAAAATGAGCCAAGTTGAAAGACATGTGCATGGTTGTAATATAAAGTGTGTGCTAATAATTCAGATTTCTGAAAAGTTGTTTGTCGCTTGTATTACTATGTCTGGTGCAGTGTCCTTTGTAAAATTATTATGCTTGTTTTTATTATCGTTTCCTTCCCTATAAAAGGAAACCCTCAGAGTTTGTATAGGCAGGATGAGTTTGGAAAGAAATAAAACTTGTGTGCTTTTCCTATGAGTTTCTAAAGAGTTCTCTCTTCTCTCCGAAAATTTAATATAAAGTTTTTACTATAATTACTAATCTCTGGATGAAAAAGTTAGTATACTCTACTCTTGCCCTGCAAAGGGATCCTGTGTATTAGAAAATGGACTCTGAAATGATCCAGTATTATGGTCCTCTCATCATTAAGGATTCATGGATGATAGTCTCCGATAAAAGAGCTAAGAGGCTAAGGGGTGCCGTGAAATGCTCAAATAAAAAGAGACTAGTCCTTCATTTCTTAAGAATTGTGAGGCTCCTGACCACTTGGTAATTAATATTACTATACGGACAACTTAGTGCAAATAAACTTAGCACATATGTCTCCTAGGGAAATTTTTCGGTCTTTGAATAAACCCTAAAAAACGAATATCAATGTGTCAGCATCAAGACAAAAGCTAGGCTCTCAGGGAATTTATGCCCATGTCACAAAGTCAAAAAATGGACCACACATGAAGAGACGTGCAGAAACCAAATTTCCCCTGCTCGTAAGAATTGCAATGCAAGTCAAATGAAAACTGTGGAACAATTCAACTTCAAAACCAATTTAACAAATGTGTCGAGTGTCAAAGATACAATACATCTAAGTACCCAAAAAAAAAATTACAATACAGTACATCTATGAAACCATACTATAATGACACATCACCCTGACAAAGAAAGCAAATTACGAAAAACACACACGAAAGATAGCCAAGTAGAAAGATCCAAATCAAAAAAGAAATTAAGAAAATTTATTTTCCTAAATCCCCACCCAAATTTTCCCATTGGCTAGCCAACTTAGACAGAGTCCGTTTTGAAGAACCATCTTTCAGTGCATTAGAAGCAGAATCTTGTAAAACCTTCATTCTTTTGCGCATTCCTTTACCTTCTTCTCCGTCCATTAGACACTTTATCACCTTTGCAATTTCCTCCTTTTCCACTATGTCATCCTCGTTAACTTTTGGCCTTAGTGCCACTTTAAGGCCATCAGTTAATAATACTGCATTCATCCTCTGCTCTGCAAAGAGTGGCCATGTTATTAACGGCACTCCCTCTTGAATACTCTCCAAAATCGAATTCCAACCACAATGGCTTAGGAATCCACCAACTGAATTATGACTAAGTACTTGAACCTGAGGTGCCCATGAAGGCACAACCAAACCTTGCTCTCTGGTTCTTTCCAAAAACCCACTTGGTAAGAACTGCAAGGGATCCTCATTTGTAGCCCCAAGGTAAGCAGCACTAGGTAAGTTACTTGGTGCTCTCAAAACCCACAAGAACCTTTGACCACTCAATTCCAAACCCAAAGCTAGCTCATTGATTTGGTGTTGAGTGAGTGTTCCACCACTTCCAAAAGACACATGCAAAACAGAATTAGGCGGCTGGTTGTCCAACCATTTTAAACATTCAGATCGTTCAACCTCATTGGTTGTTGACCTTATTTGTGTAATGGGTCCAACAGCATAATAACTGATCTTTCCATTTCCCTCCCCTTCCAAAGCCCTTATAGTATCTGATTCCATTTCTAAGAAGCTGTTGATCAATATCCCATTAGCCAGAGACATTCCTTTGGCACGTTCAAGAAACAATTTGTAAGCTTGATGTGACCGAACATGTGCAGGGGCTGGAAGATCATGCCCAAGGAGTGGTACACAACCTGGTAACCTAATAGGTTCTGTTAGGTCTTTGTACTCACCAGAAACCTCCTCATCAAGTTTTGGCATATATAAGAACAGTGACAGTACCATAGCTGCACCTGGGAAGTAAATATAGGACATGGCGTTGAATTCCTTTGCAAAATCCAGTGCTTGGAATGCAAAAATATCTGCAACCAACGCAGCCAATGGTGCTTTTGAGCTCAAGGATTTCAGGGCCTCGTGTATTGATGGTAGAGACAGAGCAACAGTGAGTTGAATTAGGACTCCAGCGTATGCCCCTTTAGGTAACTCTTCTTCGTTAATTGGAGGAAGATAGATGGAGTTTAAGTTTGAAGGAAGATTTTCGAGGTAGGCTTTCGAGGATTCTTGGAGTGACCCAAGTGAGGGAATGATGCAACTTACATGAAAATTTGGGTGATGCTCAACAAGTCGCTTGGCAAACTCAACTATTGGGACTAGGTGGGAAAAACCAGGACTTGAAACAATAGCTATGTGAGTTGTTTTCGCCATTGAAACACGAATTTTAGATTATAGATGTTTTACCGTTCTCACAATTTCTTGAAAAGTTGTATATGTTTTGCTCTCTTTATATAATCCATTAAGGGTTTATATATACGGCGAACCATTTGCTTCTGGTTATTCAATTATTATACGCAATAGGGTTGGTATAAGAAGTAAAAGTTCTTTGCTCTTGTTTGTTTGAATATTGCTTGGACCAAACTTTCAAAGAGTAAAATCATGGTGACGTAAGGGCATATGCACCTAAACCAAATATCTATGCATACGCAGCTAAACCAAATATCTATTATATATTGTATTTGTATAATGGGATCTCAGGTAATTCATCTAACATCTGCCGCCCGATTTTGTCTTTCCACCCAGTTTGCTTTAGCAGGTGGCTTTCCTCTCTTTCTTTTGAGATCTAAATCATCTGTGTCCTGTTTATACTTTTATTTTATTTTATTTTGAGTTTATATATTAATAAACAGAATCTCTTTAATAATAATAATAAGTTTTAGGCAAGTAGCTTGTAGCAATTTTTATTTTTATTTTTTTTGCCTAATATAGTTGAACTAAGAGAGCCTTAGGAGTATGCACTCTTTATGTTAAGGTATAGTATAAATGATATGTAGTTTAAAAATATTTCAAATCAACACCAACAACAAATAACATATACTTTGATGGTTAGGGTCTATATATGAGGTGACTTCAGTCTTTTGGGATCTTTGAACTCACTCTTGCATTAATGTTATACACAATCTGGGCCTAACAGCTAGAGTTTAAAATACTCACAAAGAACTTACGGACTACTTGACTCACGAATAACTTACGGACTACTTGGTGGTGGAGTATTTTGGATGGAAGCAATGTTTTGGTTTGAATAATCATAAGGGAAACAATGTTTTGATTTTAATAATCTGTAGGGAAGCAATATTTCATTTTGAATAATCTGGAGAGAAGTAACGGATAGGGACAGGGGTATTTTGGAAAAAAATTTAATAAAATAATTTAATAAAAAATTATTTTTAACTCATAAGTATGAGACGGCCGGACGGCGGCGGCGGCGCTTTTGGTGGAAGGGTATTTTCGAGGGAAGCAATCTTCGGGTTTGAATAATCTGGACGAAAATAATGTTTCGGTTTGAATAATCTGGAGGGAAGCAATGGATAGGGACAGGGGTATTTTGGACAAAAAAGTAATAAAATAATTTAATAAAAAAAAATTTAAGACACAAGTACAAGCCGAACCGGCCGGACAACGGCGGGGGTGCACTTGGTGGAGGGGTATTGTGGAGGAAAGCAAAGTTTCGGTTTGAATATTCTGGAAGGAAGCAACGGATAGAGCCACATGTATGTTGGACAAAAAATTAATAAAATAATTTAATAAAAAATTATTTTTCACACACAAGTACGAGCCTAGACGGCCGGACAATGGCGGCAGTGCACTTGGTTGAGGGGTATTTTGGAAGGAAACAATGTTTCAGTTTGAATAATTTGTAGGGAAGCAATGTTATGGTTTGAATAATCTGGACGGAAGCAGTGTTTTGGTTTGAATAATATGGAGGGAAGCAACGTATAGGGATAGGTGTATTTTGGACAGCTAGATGGTGGTGGCGGCGCGCTTGGTGGAGGGGTATTTTGGAGGGAAGAAATGTTTGCGTTTGAATAATCTGAAGGGAAGCAATGTTTCAGTTTGAATAATCTGGAGGGAAGCAACGGATAGGGATAGGGGTATTTTGAACAAAAAAGTTAATAAAATAATTTATTAAAAAACAATTTTTAACTAAAAAGTAAATGCCGAACCGAGATGGCCGGATGGCGGCGGCAGCGCGCTTGGTGGAGGGATATTTTGGAGGGAAGCAATATTTTGGTTTGAATAATTTGGAGTGGAAAAATGTTTCGATTTGAATAATCTGGAAGGAAGCAACAGATAAGGACATGGGTATTTTGGACAAATAATTTAATAAAAAATATTTTTAACACACAAGTACAACCCGAGCCTAGTCGGCCGGACGACGGTGGCGGCGCGCTTGGTTGAGGGGTATTTTGGATGGAAGCAATGTTTCGGTTTGAATAATCTGTAAGGAAGCAATATTTCGGTTTGAATAATCTGGAGAAAAGAAACGGGTAGGGACGGGGGTATTTTGGACAAGTACGAGCCGAACCGGTTGGACAACGGCGGGGGCGCGCTTTGTGGAGGGTTATTTTGGAGGTAAGCAAAGTTTCAGTTTGAATAATCTGGAAGGAAGCAACGGATAGGGCCACAGGTATGTTGGACAAAAATTAATAAAATAATTCAATAAAAAATTCTTTTTCACACACAAGTACGAGCCTAGCCGGCCGGACAGTGGCGGCGATTCGCTTGGTTGAGGGGTATTTTGGAAGGAAACAATGTTTCGGTTTGGATAATTTGTAGGGAAGTAATGTTATTGTTTGAATAATCTGGAGGGAAGCAACAGATAGGGACAAGTGTATTTTGGACAAAAAATAATAAAATAATTTCATAAAAATTATTTTTATCACACAAGTACGAGCCGAGCCGGCCGGACAGCGGCGGCGGCGCCATTGGTGGAGGGGTATTTTCGTGGGAAGCAATATTTCGGATTGAATAATATGGAGGGAAGCAATGTTATGGTTTGAATAATCTGGAGGGAAGCAATGTTTCGGTTTGGATAATCTGAAGAGAATCAACAGATAAGGACAGCTTTATTTAGGACAAAAAATAATAAAATAATTTAATAAAAAAATTATTTTTAACTCACAAGTACGTCCCGAGCTGAGACAGCCGGACGGTGATGACAGCGCGCTTGGGGGAGGGGTATTTTGGAGGGAAGCAAGGTTTGGGTTTGAATAATCTGGAGGGAAGCAATGGATACAGACAGGTGTATTTTGGACAATAAATTAATAAAATAATTTAATAAAAAATTATTTTTAACACACAAGAACGAGCCGAGACGGCCGGACAGTGGCAACAGTGTTCTTGGTGGAGGGGTAGGAAGCAATGTTTTGGTTTGAATAATCATAAGGGAAACAATGTTTTGGTTTTAATAACCTGTAGGGAAGCAATATTTCATTTTGAATAATCTGGAAATGGATAAGGACAACGGTATTTTGGATATAAAATTAATAAAATAATTTAATAAAAAATTATTTTTAACACATAAGTACGAGACGGCTGGACGGCGGCGGCGGTGCTTTTGGTGGAAGGGTATTTTGGAAGGAAGCAATCATCGGGTTTGAATCATCTGGAGGAAAACAATGTTTCGGTTTGAATAATCTGGAGGGAAGCAATGTTATGGTTTGAATAATCTGAAAGGAAGCTATGTTTCGGTTTGAATAATCTGAAGGGAAGCAACGGATAAGGACAGGGGTATTTTGGACAAAAAATTAATAAAATAATTTAATATAAAAAAATTTAAGACACAAGTACGAGCCGATCCGGCCGTACAACGGCGGGGGTGCACTTGGTGGAGGGGTATTTTGGAGGAAAGCAAAGTTTCGGTTTGAATATTCTGGAAGGAAGCAACGGATAGAGCCACGGGTATGTTGGACAAAAAATTAATAAAATTATTTAATAAAAATTATTTTTCACACATAAGTACGAGCCTAGACGGCCGGACAATGGCGGCAGTGCACTTGGTTGAGGGGTATTTTGGAAGGAAACAATATTTTGGTTTGAATAATTTGTAGGGAAGCAATGTTATGGTTTGAATAATCTGGAGGGAAACAGTGTTTTGGTTTGAATAATCTGGAGGGAAGCAACGTATAGGGATAGGTGTATTTTGGACAGCTGGATGGTGGTGGCGGCGCGCTTGGTGGAGGGTTATTTTGGAGGTAAGCAATGTTTGCGTTTGAATAATCTGAAGGGAAGCAATGTTTCGGTTTGAATAATCTGGAGGGAAGCAACGAATAGGGACAGGGGTATTTTGAACAAAAAATTAATAAAATAATTTAATAAAAAATTATTTTTCACACACAAGTACGAGCCTAGACGGCCGGACAATGGCGGCAGTGCACTTGGTTGAGGGGTATTTTGGAAGGAAACAATGTTTCAGTTTGAATAATTTGTAGGGAAGCAATGTTATGGTTTGAATAATCTGGAGGGAAGCAGTGTATAGGGATAGGTGTATTTTGCACAGCTAGATGGTGGTGGCGACGCGCTTGGTGGAGGGGTATTTTGGAGGGAAGAAATGTTTGCATTTGAATAATCTGAAGGGAAGCAATGTTTCGGTTTGAATAATCTGGAGGGAAGCAACGGATAGGAATAGGGGTATTTTGAACAAAAAATTAATAAAATAATTTATTAAAAAACAATTTTTAACTAAAAAGTAAATGCCGAACCGAGATGGACGGACGGCGGTGGCAGCGCGCTTGGTGGAGGGATATTTTGGAGGGAAGCAATATTTTGGTTTGAATAATTTGAAGTGGAAAATTGTTTCGATTTGAATAATCTGGAAGGAAGCAACAGATAAGGACATGGGTATTTTGGACAAATAATTAATAAAATAATTTAATAAAAAATATTTTTAACACACAAGTACAACCCGAGCCTAGTCGGCCGGACGACGGTGGCGGCGCGCTTGGTTGAGGGGTATTTTGGATGGAAGCAATGTTTCGGTTTGAATAATCTGTAAGGAAGCAATATTTCGGTTTGAATAATCTGGAGAAAAGAAACGGGTAGGGACAGGGGTATTTTGGACAAAAACTTAATAAAACAATTTATTAAAAAATTATTTTTAACTCACAAGTACGAGCCGAGACGACCGGACGGCGACGGCGGTACTTTTCATTAAATTTGGAGGGGTATTTTGCAGGGAAGCAATCTTCAGGTTTGAATAATATGGAGGGAAGCAATGTTTCGGTTTGAATAATATGGAGGGAAGCAATGTTATGGTTTGAATAATCTGGAAGGAAGCTATGTTTCGGTTTGAAAAATCTCGAGGGAATAGGGACAGGGGTCTTTTGGACAAAAAAGTAATAAAATAACTTAATAAAAAATTATTTTTCTCACAGAAGTACGAGTCGAGCCGGCTGGACAGCGACGGCGACACCCTTGGTTGAGGGATATTTTCGTGGGAAGCAATGTTTCAGATTGAATAATATGGAGGGAAGC